GATGCTCGAAGTAGATAATTTCTTAGGGGTCATCATGCATTTTTTCGTTACCATCAAAGTAACTGAAGCCCAATCCGAGTACTGCTAGGAAGGGTTGTTGTGGCCGTCTATCACGTCTTGTTGTGCTGGACCGGAAGTCCCACGAAGCGACTATAAAGCAAGGTGATGATGACCAGCCTTTACCCTCCTTGATCCTTGATTCTTATGAGCAAGCTTATCAACCTCTGTCAGCCATGCTTTCAGGACCTTTCAGGCCAGCTTTGCAGTTTCAAGTCTTGAAGCTTCACCTGCTAAATGTGCAGACAGGACGGCGCTGACGAAGCCCTGGGGCCTGAAGTCAATCGTGCCGTGTCTTAGAATGCTGAATGCAGATAGCGCAGCACCAGCGGCAGTCCTTCACTGCTTTGTCATGTTAGTGCTGTCAGTGACCATCAGTGTGAGCGGATGTATTGTGGACTGTCCATGCGGCCGGGCTGGTACAGATAAGTTCGTCTATGATGCCAAGGACTGGTTCAGGGCTGGACCTACTATGTCTCCAGCGCAGGACAATGACACTGAGAACAAACGTACGTGAGTATGTTGACCGGTCTTTAGTGGTTGTTGCTTCTTCAGTTTCATGTATGTGGCAGGAACCAGGGAGTTTGCTCTCAACGGAGATGAAGGCGTGACGCTTGACTTCGTGCATGACAGCGCAGATTCTTCAGAGTTAGAGGCCCAAGTAAGCCTGCAGGTCTGACAAGCATTCGTCTCGAGCTTTTCCTGGATGCGTCAGAGCACTATGCAGCCGTGGTTCCAACGAGGCAGGAGAGCCTCGCATTTGCTCGAGAAAGAGAGTTTGCTACAGTGTTGCGTTCACTTGGGATGCTTGATGACTTCGCTACACAAAGTGCGCAGTAAGATGCCTAAGTCATGGCTTAAAGTTATGACAAGAAGGTCTGGCCTTGTTTATTTTGAATGTATGGAGGATGGCTGCGAGCACACCTGTAGAAGTCAGCAATGACTCCCGTTCAGACATCCGACATCGCGGACGAACTTGACTGGGACCCTGGAGATGGATAAAAGCTCTTCTTTGCCACTCTGTCAGCAGGCTAGCAAGTCAGGCTGATGCATTTGTGCATTTGAAAAGAAGGTCCTGGTTCCTGGCTCTGATATTAACATTGCTGCTGGTCTCCGGCGGTATGTGGCCCCTCGGACAGCAAGCCCACGCTCAAGCTTTGCTGAGGAGGTACGAAAGATGGGGAGTTAGGACATGAAGGATCACGAATACAAGAATTGTATTTGAGGTTCTTCATCGAGTGCATCAACCTTGGTGTGCAGAGTTTCACTGCTAACCTGGATGACTACAAGAAGGTGCTTGCTCGTTAGATAGAGCTGACAAAAGCCCAAGGTATGCAGCTATCAGGCAGCAAGACTCATGTCACGAAAATTAATGGAGCTTGGGAGAGGTCTTGTTTACCAAATATGAGCGCCAGTGCTAAGGAGAACTCTTGGACCAGTTGGTCTCATACGTCAGAGAGTTGGCGTCCCCTCCGCCTGAATGCCTGAAGTATCAGGTTGTAGCAACAGACTTGCAGAAATTTGTACTGGAGAGCAGCCCCCCTCCACCCGCCCCCCACTCCATGAACCTGAAGGCCCTCCACGCCGGTGGACCCCATGGATCTGTTGTCGAATTGGGTTAGTCTAGGAGAAAAAGGTCGGGAGCTGTTTGAAAGGGCAGTCTATTTGAAAAAGTGACGATCGGGAGGATATGACAAATGAATTCCATGCTTCTCTCAAGTCAGCACCTTGCAGCCTGTCGCGAGGGTGTCGAGGAGTTCCTTAACCTCGTGAAGCCAATCTTACCACCCAGCGCATGGAAGGAAGGGCATGAAGAGTCCAAAAAGTTCACGGACACATGTAAGAGTGAAAGAAGTTCTTGTAGGAGTTGCAGCAAAAGATCTCCTCCTTCATATCCGATGAGCTGACCTCACTGGCCTCAGAGCTTGCCTCGGCGCTCGAGTCGCTAAGCTTCCAGGCATGTTGAAATCCGTTCCTCTTTTTATTGTGACTTGTTCCGCTGTTGCAGCGGGAGAGGCCCTCATGTTCTTCGTCTATCTTTTCTTCTGGATCTTCGAGCCTCTGCCTGTGAGCAGCCCCGTGGCAGAGGCCTACCACGAAAGGCAGCAAAAGCAAGTGTCTATAGCCCATATAAGTTGCCGTGTCGAGGTCTTCAAATCTTACCTTTTGATGAAGACCTTCATATGCCTTCTGTTCTCTACCCTGATGAGTGTGGCATGTCCGCATCAGTGCTGTGTGCGTCTGCACAACCATGTGACAGACCTTCTGGCATTGTGGGGATTCAAGATGCACGCGCAGTCTGGCAGCTACATTGTGCTCCAAAACAAGATGTTTGCATGAGGTCTTGCTCCTGTGCCTGCAATGCAAGATTTGGAGCCTTTTCTTCGCCCCATCCTTGGCATTTTCTGGTGCTGGCTTGCATTTACAGCGCGGAGATACGTAGATGTTGGAAAGGTCTTGACCTTCCTGCTCAACTTTATCCCCGAGATAGGTACCACAGCTTGACAGGGGCACTGGGTGTGTGGAGTTGCACCAGACCCGTCACGACAGGTGCCATAGCTTCAGCTGTGCTGACGGTCCCGGCTATACTATTCGATGGACATCTGACCATGGAGCGGCGGCTGGAGAATCTTATTTGGCTCTGTGGCCGAAGGGTTTGCGCACTTTGATTTAATCGCTAACGCGAGACCG